AACATAAATTCATAGATTTAATTTCACATTGTTCATATTATCGCAATTAAAATTTCCCGCAAAAACCACGCAACCTTTTTGAGACTGAAGTTCTCTTGCATTACATAAGAATTTAAGCAATTTCATTGGCCGAGAGCTACAATCTGCAAGAAGACATACGCACGGAGTTGACATCACAGAAACTTCTTGTTTTTGAATTACAAACAAACGTCGAAATTATTTGAATATTCACATGAATTTATCCCTGATTGTGCAAATGAAGACATTAAGAAGACCTATATAATATCTATTATATTGAGGCTATCACTCGCCTCGGTGGCTCGTGACCACTTTTTAGTTCTTACCACAAATGACGTCTTACTCGTGTATCTATAACTGAACAGACAACGGTTCAATGTAATCTATTTTTTGTGTAATAAACCGAAAAAATCTTCATTTTTATGTGGCAAAGAAGTTGTTTTTGTTATCTCTAAAACATGGAAAATCAAAAAAGTCAAGATTTTACAAGTATCGTACGCACATGATCTATGGGACTGAAGACATGCTATTGGTTAATTAAGTGCTAGAATATGATTGGCTTACAAAATATATAAGCAATGGCTGATCAATTTTGTTGAAATTGTGTTATCGAAGACGAAGTACAAACCAACGTTAGAAAATCCGGGTTTTTTCTTTTGTTTTTGCTCAAATACGTAAACTGCTTTAACTAGGTCTTCTTAATTCCAAAGCCATCATCAGTGAATATATATAATATATTAATCCTAACACGGTTTAATATGCACATGAAAAACATGTGACTTGGATGAGATTTGAACTCGCACCTTCGGGATACTAGTCCGCCGCTCTACTTGAGAATTGACTCGTCGATTTTAAAAAAGATTTGACTCGTCTCAAATCCCTGTGGGCTTGGCAGCTCAACAGATAGAGCGGCGGACTAGTACCCCGAAGGTGCGAGTTCAAATCTCGTCCAAGTCACATGTTTTTCATGTGCATAAAAGCCGAATTTAAAACATTGTAATGAGAATTTCGTGAATGTTATTGTTATATATTAACGCGAGAATAACGTAAAAAAGAGTTTTATGAAGTTGGGACGGTAGAGAATAACATTTATTTATTTATACATCGAAAATAATAAAATATATTTCAAATACTAGACTTCAACAAGAACTCAAATCTGAATACCTGTCTTTCGTTCTTGACTTTTTGTTTTCGCGCCCTTTTCTCCTCCTTCGTTTCGTCACGTGACCTGGTATAGTTTTCAAGTTGTCTATGAACATAGTCAGAAACTTTCATTTCGGAAGACTTCGTGATTTTGTCTTTCTTTCCATCTGAAAGCACTCCCAAGGGGATTCCATCACGTTTTGACAGGGCAATACGCTTGTCGCCGAGATTCTAAAATGATTTCATACGATAAGCCATGTATACTGCAAAATACTTCAATATTGTCCTGCATTAGTCAATAGTTTCGAAACAAAGCTAAAGTAATGAAATTCAAGCATTTTTCAAAGACTTTCAGTCATATTCTGAAAAATTTAAGGACGAAGAACTTGAATTGCACACAAAGGACAACTTAAGTAAGAAATTATTAAAAAAATCAAAATTAAAACAAAAAGAACTTTCTCTAATGAACAGATATTAAATGGTGTGTTTTCATATGACTTGAAAGCGGCCATGTTGGCAGGTTTCTTCAAAAGTCGGACATTAAGCCTTTAGCACACGAGGTACTTTTTGTCGAAATAAAAGGTTACAACTTCATACTCAAGAAAGAACTGTAGATTAGTGAAATAAGGAATTTCTTTGAAATGTTCTTCGACATGTTGAAGATGAAAAAACAAAATCAAAAAACAAGATAAAATGAAAGAAAAAAAAAACCAAAAAATTTTTTCTAGTTCGCATGCTCATACACCCTGACGAAAGAAAGAAACAACGTAATTTTTGGATACTTGATCACGAACTGGCACTGTTTTAGCGAGAAAAAAAAGAAATACTTTGTATCTAAGTATTTTTCTTTATTAATTTGAATATTGCAGTAACCACTTCCATTGCTACGAGTCCCGAAAAGTGTAGGACACTGAGGAAAAAACACTAGTAAAACTTTAAACTTGACTGTCTTAAATTTAACACTTTTTCATGTTCGAAATTGTGGAAAACCAAGAGAGGAATTAGATGTATTGCCTTTATTTTTGGACTGGTTATATGTTTTGTAGTGCTTTATGCATTAAGTAGACAATCTTTCTTTGTTGTATAACTAGATGATAACATTGAAAAAAGGCCTTTTTTTATATTTGAGCTGAAATATTTGATGATATAAAAATCTGTCCTCATAGTGCATAGCTACATTACATCATAAAGAGTAAACACACCAAGTTTTTGGTGTTGATAACTATTATCCTCCTGTAGCTATTGTTGCGCAAAATTTTTTGTGTCGTGCCGTATTTGCTGCTTCTATTGTTACTGTTAAATGTGGCAGACTTGCCGTAAATGCTCGATTTTGAGCCGCGGTGCTTATTTAGTTTTTCCGATTCCGAATGTGGCGCTTATCCGGGAGAGGCGCTAATTAAATAATTTTCAACTAAAGGCTCACACCAAATATATTTATTGCCCCCAAAAACTAACAAGTAGACAAAATCTATTTACTTGATACAATAAAATAGAACTTAACGAAAATATCATATACGTAGGAGAGCGACAAAAAACAATGTATCCTTTTATTACCAAAATTATACGATATCAATATCTGAGATGCGGCGCTTAACCGAGAGCGGCGGTAAATAACTTCCCTGAATTATATGCCACGTCCTTTGAGCAAAGTTTTCAGATGATTGGTTGCATTGTTTACGGAAATTATAACAAAAATAAGTTTCATTGCTTGAAATATTAAATTAGGGTAGAAGACCACAAACCTAATTTAGCTCCAGCGAATTTCACTATGAATCAGTCGGGCACCTTGTGCGTTGCGGTGCATGAGTTTGACAAAGATTTTGGTGCACGTATATAGCACGTACGACATTGTTTTGTGTTATATTCAAGTAACTTTTTACTTAGCGAATTTTTATCAAAAGTTTGTACACATTTCGTTTAGCGATTATTGACGATCAACTACATTGGCAAGTAAAGGGTTCAATGACAAGGCAGTGAGCGCATGGTGAGCAATTCATAAATTAAAGGGTTCAATGAGAAGGCAGTGGGCGCATCGTGAGCAATTCATAAATTAAAGGGTTCAATGAGAAGACAGTGGGCGCATCGTGAGCAATTCATAAATTAAAGGGTTCAATGACAAGGCAGTGAGTAAATGGTGAGCAATTCATAAATCCCTATGTAACTCGATAAAATCTCCTGCATTGTCCTGAAGACAAGAACTAAAATCTTAAGATTACAATATTTTCTTTCATAATGCACGGACATTGCATTACTAATAATAGAAATTATCTAGTTCTTCAACGTTTCTTTTTACAATCATAAAACAAAAAATACAGCTTACCTTTGAAGATTCTTTAATTAGTGTAGGATGGTTGTACAAATTCGAATAAGTGCCTGAATCAAAAAGAATAATAATTAAGCATATGTCAAATAACAAAAGATGAAAATGGAACCATCTCATATATTGTTTGCTTTCTATTCTTTAGAGACATCCACATAATTCACGAAATACATTGTACGACCACAACACAAACGATACAAGGATGTTTAGATAATGCAAGCGTATAATTCCGAAAAACACATCGGCATGAAAAAATCACAGAAATAGCCATCTTTTGCTAGAAGTTGGGTTATCCATTTCCCACTAAATTATTCTTAACCTTTCTGACTCATTAACGTAACAAAACAGTATGTGACTTGTGCCTCAAAGCTACTGTACAATAAATTTCACCAATATCAGATAAACATAACGTATCCCAACATACTTAAAATTGACTCGCAGTCCCACTGTTCGTTTGCTACTTCTTCAATCTTTACAAATTCCTCGCCATCAAAATTTGATGAGTTATTCTCACAAATGTCAAAGTGAACTTTTGGCACTTTCAAATTCTCTTTATCAGAAATGCTGGAAAAGCACATCAACAAAAACATTAGGCATGGTAAATTTTACCAGAATACTTGCTGTTTTTAAACAAAACTTAATATGAAATTTCATGTTTGCACGAAGTTTGAAGAAAATTGACCAACTGGCAAACTACTTACTTTTTGGTCTTAATGGACACGAAACAACGAAAATAAAAATCATTTTGAAGTCAAAATTAAGGTACTTTATAGGTTTTAAAAGATTTTTTTTGAAAAATCACACTAATAAACACTTGTTTAAATTGTATATTATGTCAATGATACAGACAGTAAAGTCGATGGTACAAGATTTACCTGTTGCTATCGTCGTCTTTAATTAGATCATTCGTAATGCTGTTGATCAACAGATCATTGAAACCGCGATCGCCTGTCACTTCTTCATTATTTAACGCTCCAATTTCACTGCCATCGTAATCTTCCATTATCTGTGAAATTATGAATGAAATTTACTAAATCAAAGATTCTTAACAGCAAGCGCAAAAAATTTCATGTTTCACGCTTTTTTTAAAAACTTGCTTGCCATATTTGGTGGTTGAAATAAACAAACACTAGCTTGCCTGTGTTTGGATTTGAACTAATGTGGAAAAGTTAACCAAATGAACAGGTCATATTGTTGCAAATATTACATATCGTCTTCGAGAGCAGCCACATCCTCTCAAATACGTAGCAGAAAAGTAAAAACATAAAACATAAAACAGCCGTGCATCTGCTTTCTCATAAGTTTGTCGGGAAATTGGGCAATTTGAATTACGTAATGACAGAGTTTAGAATTAGAAAGTCACGTGAGTATTTAGACAGTACATTTATTTAGACGGCAGCGAACAACGCGCCTTTGCCGAAGTTTATCTTATCTATATGTGAAATAGTAATTAAACAAATTTATAAAAACTTATGAGTGTGCTGACGACGTTCCCAACAAAGTTCTAGTTTAAACAAACCTTTTCAAAACGATCGTCAAGAAGGCAAAGTTCTAGAAAAAAAAACAAAATAAACAATTGTAATGTAACAACTTCTCCCAAAAAACGCTTTCATAATTAACTGCAAGGTTTGACTGACGTGAGTTTCCTCTTAATAAAAATAATAATAAATAAAATATCTTTGAAACATTTCTACTTTTAAGCAAGGCTTCTCACATTGTTAAAAACAAGTCTACTTTTGTCTAAATAGGAATCATTCCGGCAGTGCAGAGGGGTGCTAAATTCCAGGCAAAATATTATTATTTCAAGCAAAAGCAATTGTGATTGGTTTTTGATCGAGCAAAATTTTAATAAATATCTCGCAATCATTGAATAAGAGTAACAGAATTTTACAAAACAAGACACAGCAACCCCACCAAAGTAGACACTAAAATCTAATTCAGCTAGATCACACTCCTAACATAAATCATGCTATATTATAGCTACAGTCAATAAATAGATTACTTAGACATAAAATGAAGAGGTTATGTATCAATAGCTGACGCTTTCTCACGATATTACGAGGCATACGCAATCCACGTGATCATAAACAGGAAACCAACGAAACATCATATGTTCACTTATGTTTCATGACAAAAAAGAAGCTTAAACTTTGTCAATTACATTAGCAAACTTAAAATTACAGAGATATATACTAAGAACAAGTCAAAATTTTAAAAAAATTTAAAACCTTGAGTTCGCCGTATTACGGATGACGTCATTGAATATTTTGAAAATTTTGACACGTGATCGTCGTCCGAGATAGCAGCATCGCTGAACTGGTTGTCATCGGAATAGTCGCAGTCCGAAAAATAGTACTCTTCGTCACTTTCGCAATTTTCTCCAAGACGAAACCTATGAGATATGCTTGTCAAAGCTTTAGTGGACATTTGAAGGCCAGTAAAACGAAAATTTTGTTTTTAAAATTATAGTTTCTTCGAAGAGCTCGTAAAAAAGACATCTAACTTTCTAAAACAAATCATTCATATCTTTTCATTTTCAAGATTATACAATGTCCGATTTAGACAGTAAGTGACGTTACATTGCATAAAAGTCGCTGTAAATTTTTAAATATCCTTTAGTTTACCGCCAACGTTTGAATAAAATACTTACGCTTTATTTTATACCATTAACATTTTACAACGACTGGAGCTTTGTCCGGTTGATATAACATATAAGCAAATATTCTAAATAATGCAATGTGACGTCACTCTCTCTATGAATCAAACATCGCCAAACTTAAAAACATTGAGAATGCAAAGTGTTATGACTAAACTGTTTTCGAAAGTCTACTGTTACTTCAAGCGTTCTTTTCAATGAAAACGTAATTTAAATAGCAAAATTTTCGTTTTACAGGGCTTTTAAATAGCGAGTTCTAAGCATGGGACATATCACAAACCTGGTTTCTTCGTGAGATTCATTTGCCTTTAAAAATAGCAAAAGAAACAATCAATTTCAACAAACTACAGAAGCGAACAGTAGACTACGGAAGGGCATTGGTTATAAATATACATATAGTTAGTGGCAGATAAGGGGCTGATTACATGAGCCCGGGTAGCCGGGAATCAGCGAAGCGTTGAATGATTTTGGTAAATGGAAAAGTGTAAATACTTATCATCGGATAAGTATGCTTCTTGAGTATTTTCACAATATTCTGACTTTATAAATACGCAAAGCATTTAAAATGAAAACAACTAATAAGGCCTTATTACTGAAGTACAACAGGAATGAGTTTTGGCGCTAAACAAACAGTTTTAATTTTTTCGCTTGAAGTTTCGACTGTTTTTAATGACTCGAATTCCATTCACGCCTCGCTGAATCTCATTAAGCCAGGATCATGTAAACAGCCTATAAGTCTGAATACATTACAGCACCGAATTTCAAATTCAAAACACCGTATCAATAATTCTGTTGGTTAAACAATTAAAAAGAGTTTTTGAAGCCATAATTTCAGGATTGTTTTGAAAGCATTTTGAATTTTAAATGCACTTTCTTAATGTATTCTGACTCATCCTAGATACGCTACTGTAGATATTCAGCAAAACATTACAGAAAAAGATACAGGTTCGTGAATTTACGACTACGCAATTGATGTCAACCTAATCCATTCCAAGAATTAATCCACAATTTTGAAGACGAGCATGTTGCATGTGACCAACAATTCATCTTTTCTACTTTAAATACTGTACTGTGATACTAAACTTTTCAATTGATAAAGCAGAAAATGATTTCACGCTCGACCTTTCATACGGCGAAACCTCAATAATACTTCCGAAATACATTAGACTTTATTTAGAAAACTAAACGACTGATAAATATTGCGTTCTCATATAACAATAAAATACAGTTTATCGTCAAGCGTTTTATGTAAAATGATGAAAACATTCAACGATTGATGAGAGAACACCGCATTCACACGTACTTAAATAGACTCCCCCCTCCCCCCCCCCTACTACAAACTTCCAATTACACAGAAAGAGAAAAACACACAGCTATCCTCTTAGAACAGGAGTAACGTATCAATATCGAATGCAAAAAAGGTTTTCTACAACGCTCAATGAAACGAGAAAGTACGTAAAACCTACTTTCAAAACAAAATCATCTTCTAGTATGTTGTCCGGATCGTCTAGATCAAGCGCGTCGTCTAACGCAGCAACAATATCTGGGTCCCAGTCCGGTCGAGGACCTGTTAATGTTTTGAACACGTGGTTCAATATTAGCTGAGCATTACGTATAAACAATACAAGTAGCTAGCTAATAACATTTAATCAACAAATTAGTTCAATTAAATACCACTAGTAGTAGAGAAACAGCTGCATAATAAAATTAAGAAAACAACATATAACGTCTTTAAAATTTTCACAACTTTCATTTCCGATTACGATAAGAGCTATGATATATAGCTTGTTCAACAATACAAATAAAAACAGTCATTTTTTCCTAACGATCATTCTTAAAACCGTATAAAGATTTGATAACAAAAGAAAATCAACAAAAACTTCTGTAAACACTTTCGAAATTGCTCTTTTTCGAATAGGTTTTTGCACAGTTACATATATATTGCACTTTTATTATATGCAATTATAATTCTCTTGCAAAATGAGTATGAAACAAATTCATGCTTTAAAACGAAAAAGTTTTTCAAGAAGTTTTTATAAAATGGTTTGTAAGATTTATATGTGTACCTGGGACCGTAGCAGCAAGATTAAGAAGTCCTTCGTCTTCCTCGCAAGTTGAACCAAACGCTTCTGTGGGTAGAGAAACATTGCCAAACTAAAAATTTAACAACGAAAATGTCTTGTCAGTCAGCATGACGGCATTCGTGTCACCTCTTGACAATAGTATCTTGAAAATTACTCCAGGCTGATATCATGGAAAAGCCCAAATTGAGAACCGAGCTATGTTTCTTTACTTTTCATACATTTACAGGATTTACTGCGTCTCACTTCTCACCAAGGGTAATTCTGTGACTAGCATTGTCCATGGGATGAAAATAAACCTAATCAAAACTAGAGTGGAGTGGATGCAATACAGCAGAGTCTCGAAAGTAACCTCCCCTAGAAAGTAGCAGTCTTTACTAACATTAACTAAAGAATTGCGAAAGTAGCCGCTCCCTCAAAAATAACCGCCTCCTCGACGGCAACCGGTCCCTTTATAGATTATATAGAGCTTCACGTCATTTACATATTTATCCAAATAAAACGTTTATGTAAATTTGCGTCAACCACTACAAACTCAAACTTTAAACGCAATAAAAATACTATTTATAAGGCGCGGATTAAGAGCTACGTAACCATTGGAGTTAACAGATGCTAAAAATAACCACTCGAGACTTAGTACCTTCCGCAACTAAGCCCCCCCCCCAAAAAAAAGTAAGTAGCCGCGCCTTGAGGCAAATAATTTCATAAATAGCCCGGGAGATTACTTTTGTGACTCTACGGTATCTGAACAGTGACGTAGTTTAAAAGACAAGTGAGAATGATTCTATAAAAATCCTACCTGCTTCCTTTTCGACTTTTTTGCCTCAACGACAGTGATATTGTACGGAAGTGGTTCAAGGCTTGGGTTTGTCCTGGGTTTCAAATGCTGTAGATAATCGTAGTCATCATCATAAAACACACCATAGCTCTGCTGCTCTTGACGACGTTTTTCTGCTTCAACTCTAACGGACAACAAAAGGTTATACGGTAAAAGAAGCAACGTTGGGCATATCTTTTTACTTCAGGTTTTTTGTCAAATATCGTATTTATTTTCATGTAAAAAAGACAACACATACGAACAAACGAACGAGTCATAAAATAAATAATAAAGTGAAACAAAGTGAAAGTGAAAAATAAAAGATGTTTACTATGTTTGCACAGGTTTATGCAAGCAGAACTTGAGAGCTGATCAGTGCAAGGCCGAGACCAAAGGTCGAGGGTTGCCCATGCTCCTTAACATCCGTTATTATAAAATAACAATAATGCAAGATAGACAAATTTAAAACAAACATTACATTATTTGATTGATTGATTTAATTGGTTGGTGTAAACACATCTCTTGAAATAGAAAACATGTTTATTTGTTCCTTACGCGCAATTTCTCGTTCATTCCAAATTCCCCGCCTATATCTATAACTTTAAAGAAGTCTCGGCATTTTCGCACAATTTGCATAGTTTGCACGGAAAATTGTGAAGTAAAAATATAAACAATATGTCGTTAAAATCAATGAATTTGTCTTTTTAACACTGTTTTTAGAAGACTATTTCATAGAGGAAATAGAAAATAATTTACTTGCTCCTGTGGAAACTCTTGGAAAAGTTTGGGAGAAACTAAAAACTGCACATTCAGTTTGCACCCAAACTTTCATTTGTGTTTCTATGACATCATAGAAATACAGAAATGGCATGAGATGCTTCCATATAATTCCATATTGTTGCCAATGCCGACTACAAATAAGAAGTTTTTGCGGGCTTCGCAGCTAAACAGGCAGTGCGGTAAAATAGTAGTATCTCGAAGCCACTTGCCCAAATCTTGTCTAAGCCAAAAACTTTATGAGCGTATAACCGCGTCAGAATTCATAATCTGATTCTCTGGTTCTTTGGAATAAAATCGTAAACGACCAGACTCATTGACATTATTCGTGCAGGTTAATAGTTGGAATTATATTTACAATAATATGGAAAATATACTACACGTTAGAACAATGATAATTCTCATGAATACTAACAATAAAATGAATGATTTGAATCCGGGAGTATCGTTACATGTTTATAGATGTACGTAGATCGTCCATATTAGTAGAATCCTGAGAAGGACTGTTGGTGTTGACGTTGACTGACGTTTCGACAACCTTAGCATTAGTAGAGTCCTGAGAAGGACTGTTGGTGTTGACGTTGACTGACGTTTCGACAACCTTAGCATTAGTAGAGTCCTGAGAAGGACTGTTGGTGTTGACGTTGACTGACGTTTCGACAACCTTAACATTAGTAGAGTCCTGAGAAGGACTGTTAGTGTTGACGTTGACTGACGTTTCGACGACCTTAACGGTAGCCATCTTCAGAATAAAGTGAGGAGTAAACGTAAGGTTTTCCGTTCGTATTGTAGTAGACGAAATTTGTGGGCGTGCGGATGTCAATTAAGCATTTTCATCGTGGATTAGTCTAAAGTAAGGTGTTTATGGTTCGTTTGTTTGAGGTTTTGAATAAGTCGTTTGTAAGGTGCTGGTAATTGTAGTGATCTGTTTGGTGGGTTTTGTTCTAAGTTGGTATATCAACTTTCTAACTTAACCCGTTGTTTGTAGGCAGTGCTGTAAGTAATGCACTTTTCAGAGTCCCAGTCAATGTTGTGTTTTGTCAGTCGGTGATGTTCGCCAATGTGGTTGGTTTTGTTTTGTTTCTTTGTTGGTCGTTTGTGTTCAGTAAGTCTTGTTAATCATCATTGTTAAATATCATACTAACAACAATAATTAACAATGATGATTAAAAATATAAGTGCAAAATTTAAAAATCACTTTATCATGCAAAAAATCTATTTAGGAGTAAACTACAAGATATAAAATTACAAACCGTACTAACTTTTCAGATCCAGTGGTCTAAAATGAAGAAAAAAAAACAAGTTGAATGAAACAAATACTGTATGCAACACGTAACACTCTTAAAAAGTAAAATTTATCAGCTACATATAAAATTGTCCATTATAGAAAAATTCCAAGAAAGTTTTCCCACAAATTTTACAGATGTATTGATTTTCTCAAAATTAATGACTTTCTTGTCCTACAACTATTAACTACATAGCACAAAACGTTTAATGGATTCCTAGAATTTAGCTTCTCTCAAGAATGAGAGCATTAAATATCTTAAAAATCAGACTGAAATGCAGGGAAGGGCAATTTTACCATTAAGACTTTTCAATTGACAAGCTTTAGCGCTCCAAATTTGTTAGGCAAGAAAGCAAAAAATGACTTAATTTAAGGTGTTCTGGTACATTTCCATCCCCGAGTCCTCCCCTGAGTGGACGTTTTCCAGTTTGGCACCCCCAAGATCTTGGCGAAAACAGACATAGTCTGCAGTCTGGTTAACATAGAATGGATGTCAAAGATAGTTATTCTTGGTAGCCAATGATAGGTTACATTTACATTTAAAAATCAATTTACTCCATAGCTCTTGGTAAATAAAATCTACACTTAATATTTTCTATTGATTTTAAAATTAAAAACATCAAGAAATAGACTAACAGCTTTTCAATTTAAATCAGTTTACTCATCATCATCTAGCTCATTCCAGTTTGAATAATTCAACTTCTTATCCATCAATAATTCTTTTATTTGGACATTTTCATCCAAAGAGTACAAGTCATGTTACAAATGCAAATTATTACTATTCAATAGAATTATATTTTGTGCCAATTCAAAATGGTAATCTCATTTTTGAAAACAATATTTAAATTTGTCAGTATGACAAAGTCTCTGTTTTATTACTACCATACTTTGAATTGAAGCAACGGTTCTAATAATGTATTATGAACATGGTTTTTAAATGCTGGGATCCACAGTCAGTACAGCAAAGAGTATGTATCACTTACATGAAAATAGACTGAACAGTTACCTGATTTCCATCATCCAAAGCTTTGTTACTGTCATCAAGTGGTAAAAGGACATGTTTTGAACTGTACTCATCAGCTTGTAAAGGATCACGTTGGCTACGATGAACCAAAAGAAAACTGACTGCATTTTTCTTATTGATAAATTGCTTTTTCTTTCCCTGGTAAAAAGACAAGGATTTTATAGCACAAATTGAATGAACAAAACAGGCAAGCATAGGTATTTCACTTGGGAAGTTGGGACAAATTCCGAAAAAAGTTATGAGAAACTAGCATTCAAACTAGGTCTGGTTCACCTTGAACGATCATTTACATACAATTAATTACTATATATAATTTTTCTTAACTGTGACTGGCCAGACATATTAACTATAAGAAAATATGTGCATACACATGCAACAGTAAAGGTTGGCAATTGTGTTAAGGTATGAAGAATTATAATAAAAAGGGATTCAGATATTTATGAAAAATGCCAGGTTGCCAATTTATACTAATCCACTAAGGCTTCACAGCTTACACAGTTTTGCAGTTGGATAATTTGGTCTTCAAATCATGTGAAAATTCAAGAGAGTAAAAGTCCTTCCAAATATTACGTACACCATGGAAACAATAGTCTCCAACGTAAATACACGATTCCAGAAGCTCGGAAATCAGAATATTTCAAAAAGAGAACGTGTTTTGATTTGTTAGTCGAGATGGGAGGCGAGGTGAGAATCTTCAATTCAATGGTCTGTATCACTAGTCTGCTTAAGCTGAAAGATTTTGGATTCAACTATCTTCAGCCTTGAACTCTACCCACTCATACAATCTCCAATTTAACATGAAAAAGGAGTTAGCGTCACTTATACTAACTATTGAACTGTTGAACATTGAACATTGAACTATTGAACATTGAAATATTGAACTGTTGAACATTGAACATTGAACGGTGAGTATATACGTTACGTATTAGTCTTGTCTTACCATGCCTTATCTGCAAATTTTGGTCAATGATTTCCCGTCACATAATCTAACAATTTAAAATACAAGCACCACCATATCTGTCTATCTTTCGCAACAAAACATATTTATATACAGGATAAAAAATTCAAAATACAATCACAAACACTCATGTGAATTATGTGGTGACCTCGCTACCTTACATGAAGTCTCGCAAGTACGATTCCGTTTAGTCATTCCTTATATCACAAAAAAATTCCCAATTTCGAAAGAAACTCGTCATTTTTAGAGAATCTTTTGTAGAAAAATATTCTTTGTATAAAACGCTTTTGCTAAAACATTTCTGGTAAATATCACAATTTTTATTGCACATATTTATCCTTTCTATAGCAAACAAATTTTTTTGAGTTTTTTTTCCGTAAAGGATGTAAGTTGTGGCCGAGGTTGTGTAGATTTGGAACGTTCCTCAAGCAAATGCAAACCTCCTATTTTTGGTTGCACTCGGGTTTCCACTGATCTGCTCTCGAGTTCGCCCAAAGGCCTCCTTGGTCTGCGTAGGCCTGTACCAACACAGGATTGAACATCATTTATTACTTAAATGCAAAATTTCAATAAATGTAGTATATGGCATTTGATTCTCTTGTAAGGCTCATTTTTAACTTTGCCGTCTGCTATCTCTAAATTCAAATAGGGTGTAATGGCTGCGCTGGTTTGCACAATCAGTATAATTTTTAACATTCTTGTATTCTTGTGGCATTTCGTTACGGAAGATGCTATAAATTTATTCCCAACCATCCCAGTCTGTTCTCGGTTAACCTCCATGTTGTCTGTTGGCTACATGCAGAGAAAGGATTCTAGCACTTGCCCGCAAAATATCAAATCGGCATCGAGGATGATAAACTGGTATAACGTCGAGTATAGCATAAAGACCATTCCAACATAAAGTTACTGGGTGAGTGTCTAGATCATGGCTGAAATGAGGCACGGCAATTGCAGGCTCATGTTTCAAGAGGTGCTTCTCAAATACTTTGAGCAGACAACCAGTGTCGTTGTCCTTGTAATACATACGTTTGAACTCAGAACTTGTAAAACTAATTGTGAGATCTCCATCCATAAAAATATAATAGAGATAGCCTATTGTTAAATTCATCGCATGCTTGAATAAGATGTTCCTTCCTCTGCTCCATGTTAAGCTAGGCCTGAAGTTGTATTTAATTTTGTAACCTTTGGAAGAAAGTTTCATCAAAGTGCAATTGGTCTTCCAACTCAACACGAGGACATCTAGAGGCGTAACTAAAACATTAAATGGAGGCTGCATATCATATATTGCGTTGTACCCTACTGATTTGGCGTTGTACCCTACTCATGTACTTGACCTATCATAGCTATGTTTCCATCAATAATCATTCGACATGCTGTTATTAATTGTTAGAGCAATCGAAAACACCTTGAGCAAAGGAAAAAGAGTAAAAAAGGAACGCAAACCTACACGCACACTTAAACGTATGTGCATGTCCAGTTGTAGCAGGAATAGGCCACCTACATCAGTAAGAAAAACACTGTTTATGGATGTAGATCGTCTAGGTTAGTATAGTTTTGAGAAGGACTGTTGTTGTTCAACAACAGCACCACCAGTCCTTCTCTGGACTTTGCTAATCTAGACGATCTACATGCAAACATGTAACGATACTCCCGGGTTCAAACAAGTTAATTCAACACAAAATCGACGGAATTATATACTTTACACGATGTGATTAAAGAAAATAACGATAAACAGCTAGGCCTTTGGGCTAAAAATACAAGTGTCTAAACATAATATCATGTTAAGTACTATAGGTGGTATGAAATAATTCCCCGGGAAGTGAAAGAACAATGAAATGTTTGCCGTGTTGGATGACATTTGTATTGTAAATGAGGAAAATCCTTTGTAAAAATCATCCTGCATTGCGGCTATGACGTAGCTTAACACCAAGAGTAATCCAGGTGTTTGTATGGGTAATCTAATACATGTCATAATCTTGTTGATAGACACGCACTGAACTATAAGATGGAAGCCTACCTGTAATAGAAAAGCCTAATAATTTCTTGAAGCCAAATTTGACCTCCAGACACGCGTTGGTTTTCTAAGATATTTATTACTAGAATTGCCGTTTCGCTCAATATCAGAGCTCATCAGCATGCCTAGGATCCTCGCAGAAAAATATGCTTTGAGAGCTTCCGACATGGACGGCCTTGTTCATTGCAGACTTAGCCTAAAAAAATTCTTTAATCTTCATCAACTTTTGTATGGAATTTCATTTTATAACGGACTAGTTACATGTTTGTAAATGTAGATCGTCCAGGTTGGTATAGTCCTGAGAAGGACTGTTTTTGTTGTTGTTGACTGACGTTTCGACAACCTTAGCGGTAGTCATCTTCAGAGTCAAATGAGGAGTAAACGTCAAGTTAGCCGTATTTGTTATCTGGTTCTTACGTCATTGTATTGTGTGTACAGGAAATGTGTATTGTCATTGTGAATTAGTGTGAAGTGAAATGTTTTTAGTTGTGAAGTGTGATTTAGGTGTGATGTTTTTAGTTTTAATGTGTGGGTGACAATTGTGTATTGTCATTGTGAATTAGTGTGAAGTGTGATGTTTTTAGATGATCGTTTGTTTGTATTGAGAATAAGTCATTTGTAAGGTGCCGGTAATTGCTGTGATCTGTTCAGGGGGTTTGTTACAAGTTCGTTTACCAACTTTCTAATGTAAACCGTTGTCTATAGTCAGTACTGAAAGTAATGCATTTTTCCGAGTCCCAGTCAATGTTGTGCTTTGTGATTCGGTGATGTTCGGCAGTGTGATTAGTTTTGTCTTGTTTTTTAGTAGCTCGTTTGTGTTCAGTAAGTCTTATGTTTAAGTTCCTGCCAGTTTCCCAGATATAGGAGGCGTGGCAGTCGGAGCAGTTTATTTTGTAAACTGCACCTTGTCGTTCGTTGGGTTGTTCTTTGTCCTTTATGTTCGTTAGTACTTGTCGTAACGTTGTGATTGGTTTATGTGCGACACGTATGTTGTATGGTCGTAAGATACGCGAGATAGTCTTAGCCGTACCTTTGATGTAAGGTATCGTTGCTGTTGTCACTGAGTTGTTCGTTTCGTTGGGTTCGTTGGGTTTGTAAGTGTTGCGTTTGCTAAAGTCAGATTTATAGTTGTTTTTGTCAAAAACACGTTTAAGATAGTTGTTTTCGTTGTGTAGAGCGTCCGGTGAATCACATATGATTTGTGCAGGTCTTGTTAATGTTCTGATTGTGGTGGCTTTCTGTGATGTAGGGCTGTAAGATGATTGGTCTAGTAGTCGGTCAGTATGTGTTGGCTTGCGATAAGCTGTTGTTCGTAGTTTTTGATTGTCATGTTTTACCAAACAGTCGAGAAAAGGAAGAGTTCCGTTTTCTTCGACATCTTTGGTAAACTGTATGTGGCTGTTCTGTTTGTTGATGTGAGTGTGAAAGTCATCAATCTCGTCTGCATGTAGTGCTGTGATTGTGTCATCTACGTAGCGGAACCAAAAATTCATGCTCCATGAATTCATAGCTCCATGAATTCTTCTGTCGGCAATGGCAGTACGTCCGTGATGTTTGTAGTGAAGGTTTTTGTACAAGTGCCAGATTAAGTGGAATACTGGTGAACAGTGATTTCACATCAAAAGACACTAGTAAATAGTTGTCCGGTATTTGTATAGTGCTCAGTTTTTTAATGAAAGTTTCAGTGGATTGTAGCTTGTGTTTTGATTTGCTTGTAAGTGGTTGCAGTATGTCAGTCAAGTACTTTGAGAGTTCGTAAGTAGGCGAACCACAGAATGATACAATTTGTCGCATGGGTATTTGTGGTTTCTGAACTCTTGGTAGTCCGCATAGTCTGGGTGGTCGTGGTACTGAACATCTAAGTCGTTGGTAAATGCGTTAAGATATAATGTTAGATTTTCTCATAGAGAAGATCTTGCTGTTAAGTTTGCGTACTAGTGATGGTGTTGGGTCTCGTTTGAGTTGTTCGTACGTTTGTTGTCGTTAACAAGGGTGTCCATTTTGTTGAAGTAATCATTCCTGTCCATGACCACAGACACGCGTTCTTTGTCTACTGGTAAAATGACGATGTTTTTGTCGTGTTTTAGTCGTTTGAGTGCTTGTTGTTCGTCCTTTGTCAAGTTGTTGTCACGTATAAAGGACGATTGTAAAGCCGAGGCTACCCTGCTTCTGATCTCGTCTTTGGTTGTCTCTGACAAGTGTCTTTGATACGCTAGGACAGCCTCGACACTTGATACTATCGTCTCAGTCGGGATTCGTCTAGGTGTTATGGAATGTTTTAGTCCGTAAGATAGTAGTCCCGTTTCAGTTTCGTCTAATGAGCGGAAAGAAATATTCCTCACCCAGTTCCTCACACAATCACAGCACTACATGCAGACGAGATTGATGACTTTCACACTCACATCAACAAACAGAACAGCCACATACAATTTACCAAAGATGTCGAAGAAAATGGAACTCTTCCTTTTCTCGACTGTTTGGTAAAACATGACAATCAAAAACTACGAACAACAGTTCATCGCAAGCCAACACATAATGACCGACTACTAGACCAATCATCTTACAACCCTACATCAAACAAAGCCACCACAATCAGAACATCAACAAAACCTGCAAAAATCATATGTGATTCACCGGACGCTCTACACAACAAAAACAACTATCTTAAACGTGTTTTTGACAAAAACAACTATAAATCTGACTTTATCAAACGCAACACTTACAAACCCAACGAACCCAACGAAACGAACAAGTCAGTGACAACAGCAACGATACCTTACATCAAAGGTACGTCTGAGACTATCTCGCGTATCTTACGACCATAAAACATACGTGTCGCACATAAACCAATCACAACGTTACGACAAGTACTAACGAACATAAAGGACAAAGAACAACCCAACGAACGACAAGGTGCAGTTTACAAAATAAACTGCTCCGACTGCCACGCCTCCTATATCTGGTAAACTGGCAGGAACTTAAACATAAGACTTACTGAACACAAACGAGCTACTAAAAAACAAGACAAAACTAATCACATTGCCGAACATCACCGAATCACAAAGCACAACATTGACTGGGACTCGGAAAAATGCATTACTTTCAGTACTGACTATAGACAACGGCTTACATTTGAAAGTTGGTAAACGAACTTGGAAC